TCAAATGAAGATATATCTAAATTTGAATATCTTGTTATCGATTTTGATTACTTTTAATCTCAAAATTCTATGATTAATGATTCCAGAAAATGTCACTTTTTAAATAAGAGAATGTCTAAATATTGGTTTTATTTTTACAAAATGTCACTTTTATGTCATTACAATATTTGGAAATGTCAATTAAGTGACATTCCTCATGGAGGGCAGATCCTTTGTCACTTTTATGGCATTACAATATTTGGAAGAAGAAAATGTCACTTTTTATGACATTACATTTGCTTAGGTGACAGTTTCAAAGAAGAAAATGACATTTTCAGAGTAATAAAAGTGACATTTTCTAAACAAAAGTGACATTTTCAGATTGTCATTTTTGTAAATGTAATGTCACAAACGTGGCATTTTTTTCTTCAAATAACCAATAATTTTGACATTCTCATAATATACATGTGGCATTTTACTCAATAAATAAAATTCAAATCCAAAAAATCCAAATTAATAAAAATCCAAAACATTCACAGAAGAAGAGAACAGAGAACCAGCAATTTGAGGAGGATTAGAAGAAGAAGAAGAAGAAGAAGAAGAAGAAGAAGAAGAAGAAGAAGAAAGGAGAAGAAGAAGAAGAAGAAAGGAGGAGGAGGATACCTGTGGTCGACGCTGGAGCTGCGGTGCGTGGCAATAGGGATGTGGGGAGCGGTTGCTACGATAAATTCTATCGTAGATTGCAGAAGGGGGCCATCGATGTGCTGCGGATGTGCGTGACCTTGGATGAATTGCAGAAGGGGGCGAGAGATTGGGATTTTAATAGCAGGAGGGCAAAATTGTAATGTGGAGTCCTATTTAGGGAATAAAAAACTTAAAGTCCTATTATGGAGTTTAATCTAAGTTTTAGTCCCATTTTGGGCAATTTTTTCTTATAAAAAATATACTCCCTCCGTTTCAGTTTCTTTGACACACTTCCCTTTCTTGGTTGTTTCAAAAAGATTGACACACTTCCTTATTTCCTTATTTGATAAACACATCTTTACCAAAATAGTGCAAAACAGTGCAAAACAATGTCAAACAGTGTTCAAACAGTGCTAAACAGTGTTCAAACAGTGTCAAACAGTGTACTCTACAGTAAAATTTACCCTTCAGTAACATTTTTTCCTTAATTTTTGACAAATCAAACTGTGTCAAAGATTGTGAAATGGAGGGAGTATGAAATTTGTATTCTGTAACTTTTTATTATCTTTCATATGAGACTAATATTAAAGTGTTGTAACTTTTTTATTGTTACTCCGATTGTTACAAATAATATATCAAAATTTATTATTTTATATTATCTTTCATATGGCACCAGTATTTCACATGTAAAAATGAAAACATAATTTGGCACTTTGAAAACGTTTCTTTTAAAATGTTGTAACTTTTTTATTTGTACTCTGATTATTACAAAAAAATATCAAAACTCATAAATTTTTGATAACTTTGTATGACACCAATATTATATACAAAAATATAAAAAATTGAATATAAAGTAACAAATTCTTTTTCAAAATTTAATTCTTTGAGCCAAAAACCTCTATTAGCCACATCTTTAACTTTTTTTATTTATATATATGCAATATTGATGTCATACGAAAGATACTAAACAATCATAAGTTTTGATATTTTTTGTGAGAATCATAGTACAAATAAAAAGGATCATTTTGAAAGACAAAAGGTTTTTCATGCGCCAAATTAGTTTTTCATTTTTATATATGCAATATGTTATACTGTTATATGAAAGAGATAAAACAAAATTATCAATTTTAATATTTTTTTGTAACAATCGAAGTAAAAATAAAAAAGTTACAATACTTTAAAAACAATTTTTTTTGAAATTGCTTAATTATTTTTTATTTTTATATATGCAATATTGGTGCTATATGAAAGTTAATTAAAAGTTATAATTTTTGATATATTTTTTGTAATAATCGGAGTATAAATAAAAAAGTTATAGTAACTTAATATAAATAGATGATTTTTTTCCACGGGTACCAAAAGTAATTCTTCTCTCTTGGTTATGGGGTGTTAGTCGACTACGGTATTCCTTCCTTTGCATAAAAGCCTGATTAGCCCCAGCATTAGTTTGAGAAATATTAATAATTCAATCCTAATTTCGTAAATGTTTTTATTAAGCATTATTTTAGGGAAAAAATCGTTTTTATAACTCCTTCAGTTCTTTATAATTTTATCATCTCGTTACTTCAAAAAAAATTACATCTTTTCCTTTACCCAATGAATTGGTGTTTCTATTATTTTTCACTTATCTCCACAATCACACAATTTTGGTAAATTTATAAGCGGCGGAGTGGGGATACATTTTTAATTGGGGAGATTGAGTATGCACCCCATTTTTCTGTCTAAATTGGACTTTGCACCACATTTTTAAAAAATTTTGTATTTACACATCAACCCCCATGAAAAGACAAAAATGCCCCTCCATTAACAATTATGTTGGGCTTCAACATATTCCTGGTCGAGGGGCATTTTTGTCTTCACATGTGGGGTTGGGGTGCAAATACAAAGTTTTTTGAAAACGGTGTGCAAAGTCGAATTTGGACAATAAAATAGGATGCAAACTCAAATTATCCCTTTTTAATTTTATTCACTAATAATAATATTTTTTTATGGGGTTTTCCTTGAATTTTACTACATACCACCAAGTATATTAAAGTTTAGAAAGAATGGCATATATATTACTCATACACTTTCAAAAGACAAAAATATGACTCTTTTTTGCACGAAAAGGCTAACTTTCATTAATTAAAGGGAAAATGGAAACTAATAATCCAACCTTTTAGCGGTTTTCTTACAATAGTCCCATCTTTTCATTATTCATGAATAATCCAACCTTTGCACTCTATCTTCATTCACTAGTCCCTGACCGATTTATGACATGTTATTCCAAGTTATTTTCTTATCTTTGCAAAACATTATGTGATCATAAGGTGTGAATTATGGTATAATGTTTTACAAAGATAAGAAAATAACTTGGAATAACATGTCATAAATCGATCAAGGACCAGTGAATGAAGATGAGTTGCAAAGGTTGGATTATTCATGGATAATCAAAAGGTGGGACTATTGTAAGAAGAACGCTAAAAGGTTGGATTATTAGTTTCCATTTTCCCTTAATTAAATCAAAGTTCAAATCAGAAGTAATAAAAAACAGGGCATCAAAAAACCAAGATTGCGAATCGGACATAGAATAAGCAGCTTTAGCAATAGAATGAACTACTTTGTTCGCGGACCGTCTAACGTGCGAGAAAGAAATGCTAGAAAAATTCTTCGCCATATGCCAGAAAATTTGTTCGCCATATCATCTGCAATCAAACCATCCACCGCATGTCCTCTGCTTCACCCCGCTGTCGGCTCTGCAACTGCCTTTTCCTCCACTGCCTGTCATGTGCTTCAGCGTAGAAGGATGATGAGATCCCTAGAGGTTAAACCATTATTGCAGCGGTGGAGAATGAGAGAAAAAGACATTAGATTTGTTTCCGTCCATTACGGCTGTCCGCCGCTCCAATAGTCCAGAACTAGATTCTTGAAATTAGATTTTTCAAAACTAGATTTGTTTTTAAAAATGAAAATTTGGGATTAAGAGGTTGGGTTTGCAAGATGTTGGGGGATTGCGACAGAATAGGACAGTTACCATCCAACAAGATGCAAGGAGAAAGAGAGAAAATGTCGTAGTTGATTTGATGGGAAAATGGTTGGGGGTTTTGGTACACTTCCCAGATAGCTTGGCTTTGGTGGTGTAGCTTATTTTCTAGTTGGGGCATATTACGGTGGTTAGGGAGGTGAGAGCTATGCTGGGGTTGTGGCATAGTGACACCGATGGTGGCACAGTGACACCGACGGCAGAGGCAGTGACATAAGTTACTGACAATAAATCTAGTTGTGACATTTGACAGTGACATGATGACATCCTTTTTTCCAAATATATGTCCATTTTGATCACATTTTTGTCCTAATATAAATGGGGGTTTTTACAAAAATATTATTAAAATAAAACTTATTTACATTAATATGACTATTACTTACTACATAGTAAGTTAAGTTTAAAAATTGAACGTAAGTGATAGCTTCCCGGGTGAGACCGAAATGCTTAGAGAGAAGGGAGAGCTATGATATAGAGAGAAAACTTGCAATAAATGATTTGTGACCCCCCTACAATTATTCTCAAGGGGGGTAATTATAGAGGGAATACAGATTGGGCTCACACAGGTCTTGGGCCTGTGAGACCCAATTACAATAATGAGCCACTAATGGGTTGTTTACATATGCTATGATCCATTAAGGGGGACCTGGGGATTGTGAGGGTGATATGTCCGAGATGCATGGGTGCACCTCGGTCTTGATGATGGATGTGCTGAGGTACTTCCTTTCGAGGGGCGCGTACAGAAAGCCCGCCTTTTCATTGTGGACTGGGCTCTCTAAGTGGGCCTCATGTCTCTGGTATTGACTTGGGCCGTCAAACTGTTCCAAGAGTACGTGGGCCGTGGGTGAGAGCCCATATACTTTATCAATAAGTTACTATGGTTTCATTACTACTCTAGTCACTGATCATATTTTTGTAAACCGTCTTCATTTTAATTATAAACTAGTATTGTACCCGTGCGATGCACGGGACAAAAGTGTATTCGTGTTTTTGTTCATAATATTTATTCAACAAACACTAGTGCAAAAAAGCCTTTTTACATCACTTTATCTACATGTGTTATTTTAAAACTCATGTAGAATACTAACACGGGTCATTTTTATAATTTTTATAAAGTTTTTTAGATGGGTTGTTGTTATAACTCATGTTAAAAACCAAATCGGGGTACTTTTTAAAATTTTAGAAAATATTCTAAATCGGTTATGTTTAGAACCGATGTGAAAAGAAAAACGGGGTACTTTTCAGAATTAATGAAACTTTATTTTAGATCGGTTAAAACCGATGCGGAAGAAAAAAAAAGGATCTTATTCCAGATCGGGGGTACCAGATCTGGATTAGTTAAAAAAATGACCTGATTTTAACCCGATTTCATCTCTGCGATTTTAGACCTAGCTATTTCAGACCTATCGGACGCAAGACAGACCAACCGAAGAAGGAAGAGCAGCGGACGGGCGGCTGGCGTTCAAGCAGACGGCGGACGGCGGACGGGCGTTCCAACGAGTAGCGGGCAGGTCATCATCTTCATCAATTTACGGTAACTCCCAAATTCTTAAATCTAAAAAGTTGGCATCGATGTTGCTTGCAATAGCTCTAGCATGTATGTTCTTTTGGTGTATTATTCTTTTGGTGTCTGCTAGATTTAAGTGTATTATTCTTTTGGTGTTTGAGTGTTTCTATTGGCTAGAGCACTCACAACAACCTGAATATCTCCATATTTAATCGTACGTATGTTTGTTCAAATAGGTTTATTATACACCTTAATTGATGATCAAGAACCGTCTCTTTTTAGGATATTACTGTTGTTTCTTTGAAAAATTTAACTCCACTTGTTGAAATAACTCTAATAAGACCCTTTTTGGGTTGGCACTTGGCAGCACTTTTTTTTCTTTTTGAGGGATGGAGGAAGAAATGTTGAGTCATCCCAGAATGAATAAATATGAAGTGTAAAAAATTAAAAATACATTACTAACATATACGGAGTAAGGTTTTGGGAAAGTTCTCTTGTAAAGTTGACCTTTTAAGATGAAACTGTAAGTTGTTTCTGTGTTTCTTTGTGTTGTGCAATGATGCTGAAACTAACACGGATATTAGTTTGCAGAAAATGAGGATGCAAGAATAGTCAGAGAATTTGCAGAGCTACTTGATTCGAGGGAAGATGAACAACATTTGGTAATGCTTAGTGAAGATGAACAAGTTTTTTTCAATCTTTTGGTGTGATGAATAGATAGATGGTATTAAAGATTTTTGTTTTTGGCTTTTAGAATGAAGAAGATATTTCCGAACTGAGATCTCAGAAGACGCTTCTGACGATGACTATATCTCATAGGTAAACTTTATCCAATTCTCACTCTTTAGGTGTGTTGCACAGTGTGGTATAATACTAGGGAAGTTGGCCGGGGAGCTGAATATTTTTACCCTCATTTTTTATTATGAGTTTTTATATGCTGGCATGTATGTTCTTTAGCATATATAGCAATTAATTAACAATTTCTTTTTATTAATTTGATCATCTCATTGCAATCAGTAAACTTTAAAAAGTTTGACTTTTTTTCCATTTCTTTTTTTGGATAAAATCTATGTTTATCATTCCATGTAATAATGTATGCTCTTTTGCGTTTGAGAATCGTCCGTCTTGCTGTTTTAATCCTTGTATATGCTATGTTTGTAATCGGAATCTAGTTCTAATCTCACTTTCGACCTTCGATTTGAGCTTGGAATGATGATTTGGGACCAGAAACGCAACAAATGAAGTTTTCGTATTGTTCATGTTGTTTGTAATTTGAGGTCGATTCTTTGAATTTGGCGAGTTTCTCTGGTTTTTGAGACTTGTGTGGGACTCGCCGTGCCAGGACGAAGCTCGGTGACTTACTCGTTGATGGTGGGGATGGTTTTTAGGTCGCGCCCAGAAGTGGGAGTCACCTGCGACTGAGTCTTGTTGACGGACCTGACTACTGCTACATCGACGAATAGCTTACAGTGTGTTCTGGTTTGGACTTCACCTGCAATTGTTTTAGACTGCAGTTTATGCTACTATGGCGACAAATAAACAAGGGTCTCGAAAAACACGCTCTTCATCCAGATTCTTTGTTCTGGAAGAGTCAGATGGTGATTTCCCTACTTTGAGCAATGTAAACTTCATGAAACTGTCAGAGAAGCCTCCGGCTGATGCTGCTGCTGTGAAGGCAAAAACTAATGGACTCTCAAAGTCTAAAGCTAATGGTGCAGGAAGAGCCTTGATGCAGGGGACTGATTCTTTGCTTAAGCGATCTGGGAGCAAGTGACTGAGCTAACAATTTCTGAAAGCAACCCTGGAGTGAAAGAGCTAACTCCAGGACCTGGACAACCTGCTCAAATGCCTACTGTCAAGCAGGTTACTGCACGGGCAGAAACTTTGAGTAAGGTTTCTCCCAATAACCCAGGAACTGCATCACCTGCTATTGATTTGCCTAGCAAACCTGCTGCACCTACTGCAACACTACTGGTTACACAGGTTGTGACTACTGCTGGAGCTCAACCAAATAATGCTGCAGTGAGGACTTCACCTCTTGGAGCTGTTGAGCCAGTATTTGATACTCAACCAACTGCTGCAGAAAAAAAAGATGCAAAGCAGACACCATGGAACTCCTTGTGAATTAACCATCAAATTTGAAACAGAAAGCCTTGCATTGGCCTCACAACTGTTTTTTTCTGAATTTCAGGTCGGGACCGGTGATCAGTGATCTCTTGGGAGGCAATTCTGATGGGTACTCAAATCCAAGTTCTTGTCAGATTTACTTGACATTTCTAGCTGATAGCACATTCACTGAAGAGGATGTCTCTAGCTACTTTAGGTAACGATTGATTGTTGTGTTTATAAAATTATATATATTGTGTTAAAATTATATATACTGTGTATGTATGGGCCAATGCAAGATGTTAGAATTCTATTTCAACAGAAGCGGATGTTTGGTTTTGTTACGTTTGTCTATGCGGACACTATGAAGCTAATCTTAGCCAAAGGAAACCCTTCATTTTGTGTGTGACCCTCGTGTTCTTGTTAAACCCTACAAGGAAATGGGAAAAACCTCCGACAAGAATAGGTACTTGTAAAAAAAATCACCTACCGCCTCTAAATTGTAATGTCTGTATGATTTCTCTCTCACTGGGATTAAAATTGCTTCATCATTTTATAATTGTAAAATATTAGAAGGCAAAAACTGCACCATCTGGATATGGGAAAGTCATCAACAAGTTTAAGCTCATCCGGTGTTGATTCTAGGGAGCCCCTTGACATTCCATTTGGTAAGCTCTTGCCACTTTCTTGAGGTTTTATAATGCATTTCCTAAGTGTCTTCTCTATCTTTCTTTTATAGGGTCAAGAATGTTTCACAAGTCAAAGGAGGCTACACTTAGGAGAATGTTAGAGCATGAAGCTCATTTGCAGAAAACCATCCATGGGTTTTGGTAGTTTTAGAGAATTAGTTAAAATAGCATTTTATTTACTTGAATATTTTCGTGTTAGGTATCTGCACCGCTTGTGCATATCCAGAAATATTGGTCATGTGTATGGATTCATTGATCCACACACCATTCAAGGAGTAGGCAATTCTTTAAATGAGGTGCAAACGTAAGTATTATTGATGCGTAAGTATTTTGTACATTCCGTTTTATTTAATTTTTAAATATATATTGTATATCTTAATTACATAAATAATTTATTATTATATATATATATTTAATATTATAAATTACATAGTGCAATGGAGGCAAGCCGTAGGCTCAACTCAAGAAAGGGAAGAGTGAAATGGATTATTCCTATGGTAAATACTTACTACTTTACTTTGTATGTTATTTTTTCTTTCATTTGTGTAGCACCAAGTCGAATACCGTAATTTCTGATTAGTAATTATGTTCTAATTTTTAGTCTCGGATGCAAGTTGGGAGTTATGAATGTGGTTATTATGTGATGTTACATATGTTGAATATTGTTTCGGCGGTGATTCTTGAAATGTGGGATGAGGTACGTTATTATTTTATTTACATTCAATAGGTTTGCTCCACATGTAATGTTTTTTAATAACCTTCTTATATAATTTGTAGCGATTCGCCAATCCGGAACCATTTTCATCAGAAGAGATTGATGAAGTACGAACTCGTTGGGCATCATATTTCTTAGAAATGACGCAATCCATCAACGACACATGACGAACGTGTTTGTTTAAGTTTTTGAGTGATGATGAGACTTGTAACTTTATACAATGGGTTATTACTCTAGACTTGTGCAAGGATTATTTTATTTTAGTTTATTATTATGTACTAAGTTGTTAGTTTGTTACTTGAACTTGTTTAATATTTGTGGAAGAATTGAAAAATAGATTGTGTTATTGTTTTAGTTGGATCTAGTGAACATGTCAAAATTGTGTTATAATAGTTGATGATACTGTTAATGATGTGATTATAGTATAAACAGAGGTCATATTGCAAATTTTTTTCGTGAAAAATACCGAAAAAATTGAAGCTTTTCACATCAGTTGTGAAATAACCGATGTGATTGCTTTTCTACATGGGTTATAACCGATGTGAAACACACATGTTCCGAAAAAATGAAGCTTTTCACATCAGTTGTGAAATAACCGATGTAATTTCTTTTTTACATGGGTTATAACCGATGTGAAAAACCTATGCTCCGGGAAAAATTGAAACTTTTCTACATCAGTTGTAAAATAACCGATGTGGTTTCTTTTCTACATGGGTTATAACCGATGTGAAAAATCATTAAAAACGCCGTTTCGGACTATCTTCTAGATCAGGCACTAAACGACCGATGTAGAAAGACTTCTCACATCGGCTGTTTGACCGATGTCAAAAGTCAATACTTTTCACATGTGCTGGAACCACATCGACTGTTTGACCGATGTGAAAAGCCTTTTTTGACCGATGTGAAAAGCCTTTTTTGTACTAGTGAAAGAATTAAACGTATGTATGATATGTATAAAATAAAGCAAATATAAGTTGTTTCACACTTTCACGGAATGCATTTGTAAAACAAACACTTCGAAGACATCAAACATTCTCAAAATAAAAAAAAGACATGAAACAATATTCTAAAAAACTTATGATAAAAAAACATTCTAAAAAATTTCTGGATATACAACATTTAATGTGGATAAACCCGAGGTACCATCGTCATTGCATATAAATATCTTTAACCCTTCACGCTTGGTAACTTGGTTTGCGTATGAAAGTTGCATAAATGGCCTAAAGTTAAACAAAAAAGAAGGAAAGTCACTGTCCGACATTTATTGCTACTATAAATAGCACCCCATTTTCCCATTTGTAACCACGACATTCATACTGAATACACTCTCTCTCTTACTTACTTGTGCTCTGACTTCTCTCTAAGTTATTCTCTGCAATAATCCCTCGGATATATACCCCCGGGTAGACTATCCATCAATATCGATCTGCAATAGGCTGCAGTCAAGCGTAATTAAATTCTATGCCGAAACACGTATTTAAAGGATTAAGAGATCAAGACAGTTATTTGAAACTGGGACTGGACGTGTGCAGTGGGTTACCGAACGTGGTGGAAACTGCCCAAGGACATTCTTGCGGTGCCATCTGTATATTATGTGTGTATGTGTGTGACAGAAGGTTTTATCTGAACATTGAATTGTATTTATAAATTAAACTGTGTCACCTCCAACATCATTAACATGGTCTAAATAGTAAATAATAAGACCTTGTAATTCTTACCCCTTTATTTTAGATGGTGGGCCGACGTGAATACCAAATCTGAACATTAAATATATAGTTACCATGACCGTTTTTAGGGGTTCAATAGGTTATTCAGAACAGGCGACAGATTTATGGGGCCCCAAAATTTTAAAAATTTATTAGTATTAAATAATAATAATAATAATAATGTACTACGTATATTGATATTAATATGTAAAATACAGTTAGTAAGAAGAAAAATATAGATCCATCATTTTTTCATTGGTCATTTTAGTTTTCTTTTACTCAAATTGTTTGAATAATGTGTTGAGCTGCTTTAAATCAAGTATTAAGTAAGTTTTAGATTTTTTTATTACATTATTTAATGAGTATTCAATTGATTTAAGTATAAGTATTTGGATTGAGATGTTTTTTTATTTTTCATATTAATGTGGGGCCTCAATTTTACATTTGAAGTCGGGGCTTCCGAATTCATCAGACGGCCCTGATAGTTACATATTATTATAATTATATTATATTAATAACACTTTATAATAATACTTTTAGAGCCCGCTTGGTAACATTAAAATTGGTTGTATTGGCTGATTCTATTGAAATTTATGAAATTCTGGCTGAAGTGGTTGTATTGGCTGATTCTGTTGATTCATGAAAAAATCATATTCAAAATATTTGTTATCAATAAATTAAATAAAAAATTATATTAAAAAATAGCTAAAATGATCCTCTACAGTAACTTCAACCAAAACAGTCAGAAAAATAACCTCAACCTTACTTTTTATGCTTATTACAAACTTCAACGCGCAAAATAAAAAATTACGTGTTTGGTGAAAAAGCTGGCTGATAAGCCCGATAAGCCGAAAAATGGGTCACCAAACGGGCTCTTTGACGATAATAGGCACCGTAAAAAAAAGACAATAATACACTTCATAATTGTGTCACGTGTTAACCATTAACATACAGGTGTTATAAGCAAATACGGAGTATTACTTTTAGAATGCTTGCAACGTAATCTCTCATTTGCGACACATGTCCACTTATTTCGCATGAGACCAGCATATAACGTTCGCCACAATGGAATCACACGGGAAAAGGTTATCCCAGCCGATTCATAAAGATATGTGATCATTTCATATAAATGTGGTCACATTTTTTGAAATTGGATTGAATTTGATAACAATCAAAATAATAATAATAATAATAATAATAATAATAATAATTTTTTATGGGGTTTTCCTTAAATTTTACTACATATTGCGGGGTAATTAAAGTATATTTTTTTAAAAAAAGTGACTACTTTTATATATTGGCGAAAGGTATCTAACAAGGTTATAAATTTGAAAAAATCTAATGCCACAGTTAGTTTCTATATTTCTGTCAAAGGATTAGGATTTTTTTTTTTGAAATGAGAAATTTTATCAAAAAACAAAGGAAATTAAACGCTGATGGAAGATAAACCACTAATGAGCTAAAGGATAAATATAAAAATTAATGAAAAGAATATCCTCTAGGGTCCCAAGAGAAATCTCTTATGGAAACAAAAAGTTCTTGATCCGAAAATATTGTCGAAAAACACATAACTACAGTTTTCTCTTCCAAAGGATAAATATAAAAATTAATGAAAAGAATATCCTCGAGGGTCCCAAGAGAAATCCCTTCAGGAAACAAAAAGTTCTTGATCCGAAAATCTTGTCGAAAAACACATAACTTCAGTTCTCTCTTCCAAAGATCATGAACCTGAAAGAGCTCGAGTCTAATAAAGCTAGAAATCTCACCCTCATTAGTTGACTTACGAATTTCAAGAGTAGCTTCAATTTGAAAGTTTGATTCACGAAATGTACACTTATCCATATCAGTGGTTGCAAAACTCTATTTAGATAGAACTTTATTTTCCAAAGTTGAAATATTGTTCTGGGTATTTAAAGCCTCCCTATCTAAGTCTGAATTATTTTTTCCTGAAAGCTTGTAAGTAAGTTTGAAATTGATGGTACCATGGACTGCAACCATGGCCCAAATATGGGATTATAGTAAAAGCCTATAAACGGGTGATAGGCACTAGTTGTTAGTACATAAGTATATATTTTTATTGTTGTTTGTAATGTTTATTTACTAGTATTGTGCAAGTTTGTAGTCATTAGTCCGCATTTGATTTGAATTTTATTTCTAGCATTTTATTATTTGTTGTAAGAAGTAGTTAATTGGACTATATGTTTAGGAGAAGTTTGGAAACAAAAAGGATGGAGAAACCTGAGTTTAGTGCAAAACCCGGCCCGGTATGGTCTTTATCCGGTCGGGTATGATGTGAAAAGTGAAGTTGCTGGGAAAGTACACTGATACCCGGTCGAGTATCTCATATACCTAGTCGGGTATGAAGTGATTTTGGGCAAAAAGACGTGCAGAAGAACACAAAGACGTGCGAAAAAGGTATGATTTGACATATACCCGATCGGGTATGTCAAATATCCGGCCGGGTATCCGGCCATAGGTGTTGAAAACACCTATAAATAACCCCATTTTCCTTCACTTTTAATCATCCTTTCTTCCATATACTTAAGCTCAACTTAGAATAATATTTTCTTTATATTTTGTTAGCATGTTTAGTCTCCAAATGAGGAGCTAAACTTCCATTTCTTGGTTTTGCTCTTGAAGCTTGTTGAATGTTAAAGTTGTGAGTTATTTTCTTACTTCTTCCCTTGAATATTAATTCTTCCCTTAATCTATCTCTATATTAATGTTGGAGAGTGTTGCTAAGATAACAATTAGTTAACATCTCGACATTAATTACTACTAGATATGATCAATGAACCAATGGTTAATCATTGATTGTTTCACAAGTAAGTAACTTCGAGTTATTAATGCACGGTCGTGGTTAATAATCTTAAGAGGGATTAATTGTGTTGGTTAAACCGAAACCATTGTATTGAGGTTATCAATCTCAATTGATCTCATCAACGAGTTAAAAGATTAAATGCTACTATCAAGTCGGTATATGGCGGTGTTCTATACTTGACTAATAGTAAGGGTTATTAATGAACGGTCGTTGTTAATAACTACCCTTGATGAATTGGAGACACTCCTCGATTGAGTATTCGAGAGGGGATAAGTTATAGATATAACAAAGATCACCAAACATATCAACAAACGGAAAGTAGTAAAACCAAGTCTTTTATTTAATTAATTAAAATCATTAAGTCATTCATCTTTGTATTAAATTAATTAAATCACTCAATCCCAGAACCCCCTTTTGTTTACTAGTTCATAAAAAGAAAAGTATTCATTTACATGTGGATACGAACTCTACGACGCTATACTACGTATAAGTGTTAGTATTGGATTTATTTTGAGGCACACAATGACTCTAGTGACGTCAACGGGATCAGCCCTTAACAGGATAAATCCCATGAACGAGATTAGCTCCTAAACAAGATTAATGTTAATTAGCTGCTGGGCCTAACCAAGAATCCTACCCGTGAAAGGAACCCACAGCCAGGCCAGCAGACTGGACAACAGACCTCAAGTCTGGGCGGAGTTCTAGAAAGTTCGGGCTCTTCCTAGGGCTTATGTGGCAGGCTATCATTCGTGCATAGCTATCTGGTAGCAGGCAGAAGTAACAGAAGAAACGTGGACCTAGAGGAAGCAATCATTGCACAACGGCCAAGATGTTACATGACTCTCATGTAATTAATAGCATTTAAT